GCCACTTTCAAGAAGTTGTGTCTTTGATGAAACAAGAGACAAATCTCTCTTCACACTTTCCAGCAGAAGGTGGGTCTACCTGCAAGGGTTGATGCTAGCAACTGGAAGTAAAGTCAGAAGCCAGAGTTCACCTGGTCTCCTGCGTTATTTTTTATGCTAAAAGATCCCACCCTTGTGCTGATTTGTCCGCAGACACCACCAGCAAGCAGCTCCGCCCCCAGGAAACCCAGCATTCAGCTTCCTTGGAGAGCCTGTGAATGCAGACCAATCTGAATTTTCAAAGAGGGCCCATTTGCAGTCACATGTTCTACAGAAGCTCCGGGAGTCTTCCTTTCCACCTTCCCTATCATGTTTCAGCTGCTACGCTAGACCTTAAACCATCTGCCCATCTACCTAGCTCCAAAGGAGCAGCACAAACTGAATTTGCTAATTTGTCAGATTTGGGAGATTATATATGAAATATCAGTTGACTTTGATATAGATATCCTAATAGTAACATCTTTTTACTTTTTTTCCAAAGGCAGGATAGTAATAACTTCCATTCAAAAATATACCTGCCAAATTCTTAATATCAGGAGCGAGTGTCTCTGGGTCAGGGTTGCTGCAGTTGGCACTAATTCCCCTGGAAATGCTGTTGTCTCCTTCCTTATCCACATGTATCCCTGTTCTTTCTGATTCAGAAAAAGAGGCCAAGACACCAACTGTAACTTTGCGGACTGTATCCATTGCTGAGTTCGAAGCTAAGAGGTGTGAAGAGTAGTGTTGATGGGGTCTCTCTACTCTCTCTCTCTCTGCCACCAAACCTACCTCACGGTTTCCACCATTCTGAGACCCTGTTAAACTGTTGCTGATATTGAAAGATTCTTGAACCATTTGCCCCTTTGTTCTTACAATGGCAAGAGAGTATCTGTCCTTAGTGAGGGAGTGTGGGATTAGACATGCACATGAAAGGAGGAGCCAAGGAGAATGGCGGTAGGGGGAGAGCAACTGTGGTTTTAACTTTGGTACTTAAGACTATGTGGTAAAGGCCCACCTAAAATGTCATCAGATAGTACAAAGAGCTGGCGGCAGCTGCTAATAAAACATTCTTCCATGGTGTTAGGAAAAAACTGACCATGGCTATGTCAGACAGACGTCCAAAAATCAAAACAAACACTTTGTTTCAGAAGCCACTAAATGAATAGCAATTAGATTTTAAACAAGGACTTTTAAAAGAATATTCTGTAGCTAAAATGGAATCCCCGTAGATGGCATAAAGACAGTCACTATTTGCCCCTGGTTCTCTCCTTCAGAAGTCTCAAAATGCCTACAGCAATCCCCCCATATCTATTTTCCAGATTTCATGAATTCCCATAGCTCTTCCCACAGCATCTGATCATTGGTCTTATGAACAGGACAAAAATTATCAGGAAAGCTATGATATGGTGTAGCAGCATTGTAACAGTTATGTGTAGTTAATTACCACATTGCCCATCTTTTCCTGATGTTCTGTTCATTTTGGAAACTCTTGTTTGTGTGTATATCACTGATTTGCTATGATATATGTTTATTTTTTTAAATTTCAGCTGAGGTTTTGCTGTTTTGCTGAGGACTTTTACAAGTCCCTGATTCCATTATTTTATTGAAGGAAAGAAATCAAATTCAACTTCCGTCATATCTTTTCAGGAACTAACATCCTGTTAGAGTTGAACTTCTGCCCTTTATAGCTATAATATGGAAGAGACACTAGAATTCTTTCCTTCCTTCCTTCCTTCCTTCCTTCCTTCCTTGTCTTTCTACCTTGTCTTCTTCCTTCCTTGTTTCCCCTTGTTTTCCTTCCTTCGAACCCTCCTTCCTTCCCTTGCCTTTTCTATGTCTGTAAATGTGCCCAGAAGCTGTCTTTCTGTAGAACCATGTTTCCTAAGCATGAGACTGCAGCTCTGGCATCCACAGTCCTCAGGGTAAATAAGTGTGAACACATTACCACATCTCTCAGGACCACTCTCTTGTTTTTATTAAGCAGAATAAATTTTGGCATTTGAGTAGCGCTTTGGAGCATTAGAGACCTTCTGAGTCGTTCAGAAAACTATTGTGATTTGTCTGAAGAAAGGGAATTAAACAATTATCCCTTCCTAGTAATTCTGAGTACCAAAGTTGTTTGTACACTAAGTCTTCATTCACTTCATTCAAAGGCAAGAAGTCCTACCTCATTCCTTTCTCCCTGTCACTAAGACCAGGGTCTATCTCTGTTGTGGAATATTACTTAAAGATGTGTTACACTCATTGTTGCTGTGGAACATTTGTTTAATGATGCAAAAATGTGTTGCTTTCTTTTATGTTGCCTTTGTTTAACTCTGTAAAGCTGTGTTACTTTGCCTGCCTAAAACACCTGAATGATCTCATAAAGAGCTAGGTAGGAAAGAGAAATAGGTGGTGCTGGTGGGTAATGAAACTAAATAGAAGGAGAAATCTAGGGAAGAGGGAGAGGGAGGAGCAAGAAAAGAAGAAGACTAGGAGGAGGCCAGGGGCCAGCCACACAGCCACACAGTCACCCATGGAGTAAGAAGGAAAGGAAGATATGTAGAATAAAAAGGTAAAAAGCCCAGAGGTGGAAAATGTAGTTAAAGAGAAATAGGATAATTTAAGTTAAACAGACAGGCTAGAAATAAGCCATGCTAAGGCCCAGAATTCATAAGTAAAAATAAGTCTCTCTGTATTTATTTAGGAGCTGGGTGGTGGGCCCACAAAGAATTAAAAAAAAAAATAACTACATATCTTTCTACTCCAGAGCTCATATTTGACTACAGAGTATACTTTGCAAATGTCCTGGATGTTCTAATTTAGATTATGGGAAGAGAAAACAAAGTAAAAATGTCAACATTTAGGTCTAGCAGAAATAGCTAATGGGACATCATACGAATGCCTTTCCAAACTAAGCCAGTTTATTGTGACCAGTGTAGCCAAACACACATACACGCCCCAACATGTATGCTGTGGTCAGTTAGTGTGCTTGTTTGGGATGTTATCGGTATGACTAGAATGCCGTGAGAAAATTTGCTGCGTGCCTTTGCTAAGCAGCTGCTGTCCAGTGCACTGTGTCGTCGGGACCGGCAGACTAAGGGCTCCTGCTGCAGAAACATATGATTCACATAGCTTCAGAACCCAGACACACCTCCACACGTTTCTCTGCCTGTGTAAACCACCCACCTACTCACAATGAGAAGAATACTTTCCCCGCTAAGTAACAGATTCAAGAGGTGATTTCAGTGCTGGCCTCCATCTTGTCTCTCTCTTCCATCCTTTTGTGTTCTAGAAACAGGTAACTATACTGCCAGGCAACTATAATTCATATTTTCCATTTACTTTTTTTTTGATATTTCCTAGAGTGTATCAAAGCAAAGTCATAGGCTAAGAGGCACAAGTAACTCAGGCTTGTGACTGAACGCAGAGCTAGCTCTCAACTCAAACCTGCCTGGCGTAGAAGGTATCCCAGAGGAAATCAGCAGATTCCCATTAGTAGACTATGACATGAAGCATCCTCGTCCTTCTGTGTAAAGCCACTATTGGATGACGGCTGCTAAAACGATCCTACCCTGATCTCAGAGGGTCCTGGGGTTCGTCCTGCGCTCAGCATTTTAACTCAGCTGCACCATGTCTCAGCTATGCCATGTGACCATCACAGGCCTGTCTGCACGGCTCATCTCTTTCCAGCGTAGCCAACAGGACTTGGGCCAACTCAGTAGGAATCATATCCCTGTGTGTGTTTAAGAGTGGGAACAAGCAGCATGGGCCCTCCTCTGTAGAGCAGAACCTCGAGGAGAAATGGGTGATGTCAACAAAGGCAAAACTGCCCTGGCAGAATTGTGAGGTCTTCCCCTCCTCCCCCTTAGATAGTGTACATCTAGAGATAGTTTTGAAAAATTGCTTTTAGAATGTAGACATTGGGGCTAGCTCAGTAGTTATAATTAGGTACTGCTCTCGCGGAGGGCTAGTCTCATCTCCAGCCCTGGGTCAGGCAGTTCACGACCGCCCGGAACTCCAGCTCCGGGGAATCTGACACCTTAGGTATCAGAGTCTGAATTCCTTAGGTATATGTATCCACATGTACATATTCACACACACACACACACACAGACAGAGAGAGAGAGAGAGAGAGAGAGAGAGAGAGAGAGAGAGAGGAGGGGAGAGAGAATTAAAAATAAAAGTTACAATTCAATAGCAATCTAAAGACTCTAGAACAAAGAAATAATTTTTGAAGTTTGTGGTGATGTGAATTCATGCAGCATCCAAATTTATTTGGGTTCTCAAAAAGCTCCTGATTTTCTTTTCTCCATCAAAGGAGCTCCTAAACACAAACCAACAAATCTTCCATGTATAGTGAGGTTAGTGAACTCGAATGTGATAACCAAGGTCCCAGAGAGAGCTCAGTTTGCATCTGCAAAGGTCCTAAGAATGGACAAGTGGCAACTCAGAGGTTTTAAGCACACCTGGCATCATAAAGATTCTAGACACGCAGCTGGCCCTGAAAGGCTGCTCGCTCCTCCTTCCTGGAGACCCCCTTCATTCCTTCCTTACACGCTTCTTCCATCTCTAGCTTGGAGGCCCAGAGTTGGTTTGTGGCTCGTCCAAGTGTAGCAGTTGAGAAAGCATGGCTATAACATGAACGGGGCCCCTCCGTTTCCTACTTCACTCCTTTCTCCCTGTCGCTAAGACCAGGGTGTCTCTCTCCACCCCAGGGCTCATATTTAACATACAGAGTAAACTTCGCAAATGTCCTGCATGTTCTAATTTGGATGATGGGAGGAGAAAACAACTCCTCTGAGCACCAACTCCATGTCCTTTAACTCCAGCGGTCCCCAGGTGTCAATCCCTGCCCCCCCCCCCTTCGCTAGCCAGATCCTTTGCTAGCTCCAGCGTTTGCATTAATCAGCTGCACAGGCTCAGAGACTGTGTGTTTTGGTGTTGTTTGTGTGTGCAATCTCGTGCTGCTTCCTGAACGCATGTGTCCCTTCCCTTCACAGCCTACTCGACACCCAGCACCTCCCCCGCAAACCGATTCGTCAGTGTTGGACCACGGGATCCAAGCTTTGTAAATATCCCTCAACAGACACAGGTGGGCCGCTCTCATCTTTTCCGTATGTGGTGCAGCGTGTTTTATTGATCAGGTGCAGTTTAATGTGTCTTGGGGTACACCAGGCCACATGCCTGAGCCCCTCTTCAGTTCCTCTCCTCCTGACTCTGTCTCTCCCAGCCCTGTAAGCCATGTTTTCTCCTTGTTCTCAGGAACCATAAACAATGGTCCTGGGATCTTTGCTTAGGGTATTGGGGTAGGAGAGGGGGGCTTCTGGGCCAGACTGCTTTTGCCATGGCAAGTTAAGGTTGCTAGGCTGAACTGTGTGCATTCCCTTTTTGAGGCAGCCATGTCTCTCTAGCTGTAAGCAGACAGACATGTGCCCCATGGAACCTGGTTTCCATGGTATCGAAGCATATGTGGGGAGGGAGACCAGCCACTCCTCTCATTTTATGGCCCCGGGAAACTGGCAAACTTTCTAAAAGAAAGTGGGGTGGGTGAGGACAAAGGGTTTCTAAGCTCTTTATTAAGTTACTGATGTTGGTCCCGAGGAGGTGATTGCTGGCCACTGGGGAAGCAAGGTGCTGAGAGTGGGAGGGGCTAAGCCGAATGGCATGTGGAGATGGCTGATTGACAGTAGAGCTCAGAATCCCCAGAGCTGACCGAGCACAAGAGAGAGTTGTGTTTAGATCTGTGTAGGCTAAGAGGAGCTCTTTCAAAACAGGCTTGAAGTGGCCGCTGAGGGTTGAGAAGCAACAAACCTCTGGGTCCCAAGGAGTATGTGTAGAGGTTTAAAAAACACAGAATCAGGTCCAAGCTTGTAGAATAAACGACTCCTCCGTTTCCTAACTAGAATATGGCCATGTATTTCCTAATTGGCTCTAAGAAATTATTTTGTCCATGAGGTTCTTAGCATGGCTTGACATTTTCTCCGTGCGGTTCTGTGCCTGTGCTCAGCTGTGTGGCGTCAGCTGCCTGGTGTATAAGTACAGTCAGGTGCTTCCTGAATCTGCTGCCATCTTACAGGGCTCTGCTTTACTGCGCTTATCCACAGTGCTGCTTCTCCTTCCTTCCTACCCTGAAGCAGCACCCCACAAAGTCCAGCACTAAGCCAAAAAGGGAGGGCCTGAGAAGAGGGACCCCTCTCCCCTTGAATCTCTGGCTTGCACATGGTGTCTGAGATTAAAACCCTACTCAGTGCCTCTTCTAAAATTTTCCCACTTATTTGCTTACTTTGTCATGCCTTCAAATATTCAGATGTTTTACCGGTGGTTTGAAGTTGTACCATTGCCTGAGAATATCTGTCTTAGAAGATGCTTTAGCTTTGTGCGTTGAACTTCCATGTTCTGGCACAGCGAAGGGTAAGCCAGAGGGCCTCCCATAGTTCAGTTGGATGGTTGTTTCGGGTTTTTTGTTTCAAAGCTTGGGTATGCTCAAATTGATTCGTTGAGAACCTGAAAACTGCAACTTTGAAGTATCTTGTTTGGTATTTTGCATGATATTTTATACAAACTAATTCATATAACCTAAACTGTATGTGTCTTTTTCATTTATCTCTTTATAATGAAAATGTGTTTTTCCAGTATGACTTTGTTTCATAAGTGCCTTGTTTAGTTCAAAAACCGAGTCTTCATGATGTTGATCACAAAACTTCAATTCTTAACAATCCAGATTTTGCACGCATCTGGATGGATGATGTCATTTAGGCCCAGTATTGGCATCTAGAACTGAATTCTTTTTGTTTTCCACTAAATATTTGGCATTGTGGTGACAATAGCTTAAATGTTCTTACCACGGTGACACCTGTCACATTTGGCTTGAAGAAAGCCATTCCTAATCATCTCATGAGAAGTTGCAGGGATGGAACTGTCTTTTTCCACCCTCTCTATGTACCTATCTAGTCTTATGTCTTAAAATAAAATTTGCATTCCCCAAATATTACTATTTTATGATATATATGCTAACATTTTAAGAATAAACTGTTCAAAATAAGTATTAGATGTGGATGACAAGTAACAGTAGACCTTAAATACAGACTCCTTGTAAGGCGTCATTAGTTAAAGTTATTTTTTTACAGGGTGTGTGTGTGTGTGTGTGTGTGTGTGTGTGTGTGTATCTTCAGTTTTTATTGCTGTGAAGAGACACCATGACAACATCAACTCTTATAAAGGAAAATATTTAATTGGGGCTGGTTTACAATTTCAGAGATTTTGATCCATTATCTTCATAGCGGGACATGCAGGCAGACATGGTGCTGGAGAAGGAGCTGAGAGTTCAACATCTTGATCCACAGGCAACAAAAGGAGTGTGCCTTACTGGCTGTAGCTTCTGCATAAAAAAACCTCAAAGCCCATCCCCACAGGGACACACTTCCTCCAACAAGGTCACACCCACTCCAGCAAAGTCACACCTCTAAATAATGCCACTCCCAATGGGTCAAGCAAACATGGGGGGCCATAGCTAGTCAAACCATCACTCTGTGTGTGTATGTGTGTTTGTGTGTGTGTGTGTGTTTGTGTGTGTGTGTGTGTGTGTGTGTGTGTGTGTGTGTGCATGTATGCATGCTGTACAGGGGATTACCTCATAGATGCTAGGCTCTACCACTGATCCCAAGTCTTGTTTTTACTTTTCAAAAACTTTTAAGACCGTTTCTTACTAAATTGCCCAGGATGACCTTGAACTCACTCAGTAGTCCAGCTAGGCCATGTTCTTCTGCCTCAGTCTCCCAAGTAGTTGTTCTAATAAACCTGTAACACCGGTGTTGGCTAACAAGGTTTTTAACAATATAATTTGAACATCCCCAGATTCCTCACTTCCTAAGCAAGCTTGTGGTTGTCCTGAGATAGCTTTGCTGTAAGGCCCAAAAGTTGGTATTAGCTAAAATTAGGAAAGCTTTCCCAGGGGATCAGAAGTTTGCTCTCTGACACTCCACCAATAAAGTCAGTCAGACAGATGTTTTCCTTATCTCTGCCTCTTTGTGAGTGAAAGTCGGAGTCATCCAGACAGATTTGTAAATGCAGAAGAGCCAGGAACAGGAACCCTTGCCTATAATCCAGCCCTTGGGAGGCAAAGGCAGGAAGACTGAAAGTTCCAGATCAGCCTGGGATGGATGATGAGACCCTGTCTGAGAACAAGACAGAAGAATCCAGCACTGAGTTCATGAACAGATGTGAGATGAAATGGTCCTCCTTTCCCCCAAACCCATTTCCTGGTGGAAATCTCTTGGCATTCCTATGCCATCCTAGAGAGGATGGTTCTTCCATTTATCTACTTATTCCCTATACCTTCTAATGCAGACATTTTTCTTGGTGAGTTTGGAAGTTTCATAATTGCTTTGAAAACATCTCTCCTAAAATATGGTTTACACATGCAATGTAAGAGTTGTCATTTCTTAAAATGAAGAACATCCTGATACTTGCCACAGTATGGATGAATCTAGATAACATCATACTAAGTTGCATAAACCTATCACCAAAAGATAAAACCTATTTTTCGATGGTGATTTTATCTTATTACAGTCATGATGCATGTTAATTGTGGGAAATACAGATGAGAGAAATAATAAGAATCACTAGTAGTCCTACTGTTAATGTTTCTATATAAATCCACCCTGGCTGTTTCTACACATTCAAGTATATTGCAAAAATAAGGTCGTATTACATCCACTGTTTAGTAACCTGCTGTTTCTTCTGCGTAACAATGTATTATGACCTCCTTTTCATGTAAATTGGAAAAATGGAATATTGGCTTTTATTACACCTATTCATCATCTGCAATGATTGGTGGGGAACGATGGCATGGATAATTGAAAGCTGTTGTTCCCCCTCTTTCCCTGCCAATCTACTTTTACTCCAGAGGATCCTCCATCGTTGAGGGATAAATGCATCCCACTTACACTCGTGGAAGCCCGTTTCCATTCATACTCTGGCTTCTGGCTCTGGCTAGATGCTCTGCCAAGTGATCTGTACTCTTCTTCCTCCTGGTTCCTCTGCTTGCTTTTTCTGCGCCTGTCGCCTGGCCCACACCTTACTCCTGCATACATTGTAGCTGCACTCACCAGGAGACATGGCCAGCTCCCTATGGACTATGGAAAGCCTACCTGCTCTGAGAACTTATATCTCACCTCCTCCTGCAGCTCATCTTATTTAGTGTCTATCCCCATGGTGGTTGGTGCTAACTCGTGGAGAACGGCTGAGTATTGACTCTCTTCCTACACCATCCATATGCTGCACTCAGCTCTTAATGATACAGACCTCGCCACTCTTCAGATAGAAAGCTGGGGGCCATTGTAACTGTATCCCCTGATCTAATCTGGTCTCTAAAAACAAGAACTATTATGAACAGGAATTTACTTAGAGCAAAAAAAAAAGTTCACTATTTATTAACAATTAGTTAATAAATAGATATATACGTTCTCACACAGGAAGACTGAACAGAGAGCTCATCTTGATTGAGGCTCTGATGAGGATGAATTCTTTACAATGAAAAATTAATGCTAACAGTATTAAAAACAAGCATTTTCTCTCTACCACCGGAGCTGTTACCACTCTGCATCAACAGAGCTGTGCCATCTGAAATGCTACTTAAAACCCCAGGAGACTGGCTCAGCTTGGTATAATTCCAGTTTGCTGAAACTTCTGCTAAGTAAGTCTCAGCTGCCTCACCCCGTACACTGCCTACAGTATGACCACTTTGGCCTCGTGTTCACAATGAATGCATCATCGAGAAAAGTTTCCACAGAGTGAACCATGGCACTGACACCCACTACCTCACCTGATGCCCACAGCACCCACCCTGCCACCTTGGGTAACCATCCACAGGGAAAGTGGAGTATAGAGACATGAAGAGGTTTTCAATCCATGCCCAATCTTGGTGTCACGTTCCTGAGGCCTGGCTGAAGTCCTAACCACAACTTAAGCAATCTGTAAAAGTCTTCACAATTTCAACCACTTTAATATTTATTTAACTGCTTGTTATACTTTTTAACACTTACAAAATGCAAGGGATACCAACTGCCCTGAAGTTCTAGAGAGTGCAGTAGA